GTGGGCTGAGTGGGGGTGGGGGGATGTGATCAGACAGGGTGGAGTAGGTGAGGGAGCTCCCCTCGTCGCTGCTGCTGATGTACTCGCTAGTGCTGCTCATGTCGTTGGTGATGTAACTGCCCTGGTCGTCATGGAAACTCATCTGATTTGGGAAAGAGGGTGGAACCAGAGCATAAGGAAGGCTTCCATTCCCAGCCGCCCAGCATGGGAACAGCCGAGCTCCCCTTCCCGCACTCCGCCCTTGAAGGCTGGAGTGTGCTCGGGCTGGCAGGGGCAGCTACAGCTCTCGAGTGCCACTAGCCCTCCAGCACCTTCCCCTGGCTCCTGCTGCATGCCAGGGAGGACAGACCTTTGCCCACAGCTCCCTGAGCAGTGCCGTGCAATGCACAGTGCCCATGGGCATGCCTGCACAGGGCTCACCCTGGGGGTAGCAGCACCAACAGGGCACAGCTGGGCTAGCCTGAGTCCCTCTGCAGCGAGGACCCCAAGATGAGCTGCCTGCATCCAGGGCTGCACTCTGGGAGAGCCGTGGCCCACACTTCCCTGCCTGGAGCACTGCGCTCCTTCATCATCCTCCCACCACAGGGACTACAGGAGACTCCCAGGCTGTAACGCCTGCATTGCCCCCTCCTGCCTGACCATGCTGTCCCACCACCCCAGCAAGGACTCAGTGCATGGGGCACCGGGCCATGGAGCTCACCTCCTCATAGTCATTCTCTGGCGTGAGGAAGTCATCCACAATGGTGACCCTGTGCCCCAGCTGCTCACTCAGGGCATCCAGGAAGCGGTCTGTGTCCCGGCTGCGTGGGGGCCGTGAGAAAGTGAAGAGCTTCTTGCGGCGAGACAGGGGGCTGAGTGTGTAGTCCGTGTGCTTGGGCGAAGGGGCAGGGCTGCTGTCCAGGCTGACGTAGGGGTTGGACTCCGTGCTGCTCGGGGAAGGGAGGCTGCCATGCGGGTGGTAGTAGCATTGTTGCGAGGGCAGAGGATCGTTCTGCCAGGAGATGGTCATGCCTGACTTCCGAGCACCTGCAGGGAGCAAACGCATCTCCAGGATCAAGAACTCCTGGGGCCTAGCAGGGAGGCCAGGCCTTGCCAATCATGGCCACTGCACCAAGCGGGTGCAGGGGCGACCATGTCCCCCGCAACAGAGCAGCCTTGAGATACAGGTGCAGCCAGCAGCACCAGAGAGAATGTTAAAGCTTCTCAGTTCACACTGGAGCATGGGACCCACCCACCAACTGCTCCTCCCCACTGAAGTGGGGAGTTAAGAGGCTACCGCAGTCTCATGCATGGCCCCTCTGACCTAACACTCAAGCTGCATGACTAGCACCAAGCCTGCAGGTTGCAGGTCACCATCAACCCAGCCAGGGAACCCGAACTCCTCTGCCCTGGAGCCAGAGGCCAGACAGACTTTACCTGCAGTATTCGCTTGGTCTGAGACGGGGGACGATGTTCTGCGTGGGGCTGCATTGGCCATCTTTCCTGCAAAGCTGCCAATCAGGCGGTTTTCTAATTCTGCGTAGACAGCCGACATCTGAAAGCAAAGGGGAGGAAAGTACCAGGAGTGCCCAACACTAGCAGCACTGATGCCATCAAGGAGAAGCCCCACAGACCACCCAGCCCCAACTGGGCTTGTACCTAGCGATCCTGTTTTAAGACACACCTCTCCAGGAGCACCTTACTCCACGTGCGGATTGCTACCGTCAGGCCTGAATCCCAGAAACTCCCTCCCTAGCGAGGCTGTGTTGAGACTCTGAAAGGAAGCTGCCTGACAGTGTATCGGTGAAGGGAGCAGTTCTGCCAGCATGCTGAAGGGACACGGGTAGGCAGGAGCCCTGAGGTCAGGACAGCATATCTGCATCTTCATGCAGTATGCACTCATATCACCTTCCCTTGCTCATCTGCCTCCCAACACTAATGTAAAATGGTTCTCAGTGAAACCACAATATAGCATGTTCAACAGGCTGCATCCTGCCAAAAGACTTCTTGCCCAGCTGCCATCTCCCCTGAAGGGAGTGCTTGCCACCTGCTTGGGGGCACACTTGAGGGAGGGCAAAGCCAGACAGCAAAGGTGCAAACCATTTTGGGGTTGGGCGTCTCTGGGAGGGACGTGCCGTCACCCGCCTGCCGCTCTCCAGGAGCCAGTCGAATTGGGACCTCCCCCATGTCACTCTGGCCTGCAGAGAAGGGAAAGAGAATGCCAGTCAGGGAATACCCCAGGTGAGCAGCCCACGCCCCACTGTTGCACCTGCCACCTGGTTGGAGCCAAGAGCTGGGGGAGCATTGATTTATGAGAAACAAGGTACTGAGCTTATCTCATTCCCAGCAATGGAGGCTCTGGGTTTGCAGCAAGATGTAGACCTCCAGGGACTGCTGAGTCCTCAAGCCTTAATGAAAAAGGAATGGACATATTTTCCTGGGTCCCACTCCAGGTGCCCACAGGAGCAGAC